TTGTGTTTCTGCCTCCGAGGCCGCAGCGGCCAAAACGAACGCACTAACTCACCACTGGCCATGGCAACAACTTGCCATGATCTAAATTCACATCAGCGGTTTATCAACGGCCACAAAATATCTAAGGAGCGCTTTCCTCTTTCTTTCACTGTCATAACCATACAGTACAGAATGATAATACGGGAGTGCATAGTGAACGAAATGGATCCGACCATTTATAAAACAGCGTGCTAGTGGGCCCGTGTGAAGCTTACGCGCCGGGCTGTACTCGGTTTTCCGTTGGTTATTTCGGCGCATTCTTTTGGATGCTGGAAATTTAAAGCCAGCCATGTTTATTACGTTATTAAGGTTGGCTCATTGCTGTAATACTTCGATAACACGCGGTTCCAGTCCGATCAACAATTCATAGTCCACCGAATGCTAACTGTTGTGATATTTCCCATGCGACAATTGTGGCTACATAATTTATCTGCGCCTATAACGTCCACCATCGTCCTCGATCTGATGTAATCGGCTGTGCTCATCTCTCTTGATGATGAGCGCAGCTCGAAATATTGATTGCCGTCAATGCAATCGTTATGTGGCACATTGCAACGTAATTTAAAGGGAGTGATCCACATTTATATGGGGTTTTGAACTAAAATAGCCATCTTGAAGACCTTTTCGATGCTGTTCACAATCCGGCCCTTCTGGCCTAAGCTTCTCTAGTTTCTGAACTACACATCCGTGAAAATGGGAAGAGGTATATCAGAGAGAGTGTTTCAAAGTCACCTTGACATTCGAACCGTCATAACAACGTCATTCAAATCCTGTCATCACGTAAGCCATGCGACGATCAAAGCCAAAAAATGCAATTGTTGAGGCGTTCATGTATGGCGTTCGTGAGCGCAATTGCCAGATATAACGGCCGTCAGTTGGCTCTCAGTCAGTTGCAGTGCAAGGTACGATGACGTAATGAAATCATGACGCATTGAGGAGCAAATTTACTAAATAGAGAATTGTGCTGTCCAGAGCAGTCTTTTCCACTTAAAAATATACCAATTGGCGTAAGTGAGCTTGTTTTATCTTATCTGATGCCTGCCTCACCATCTTCAAATGTGAAGCATTCCCTTTAATCAGTACCCCTGGTGTATTGCAGGCCGTTCACTCAACATAATATCTTTCAATTCATAATGGCTACATTTTTCGTTTATAAATGTAGCGTAACAGCCTCGCTTCGAGAGGAAGCCAGCACAGACATGCTTTGCACCTCCATGTTATACCCGATCCCTTTTGCAGTCCGTGTTCTTGTGGCCCAGCTGCCCTGGGATGGCCTTTGACTGCAGTAACAAAACGACTTTGTCGATTGTGTCAGCTCGGCCAAAAATATAATTGATGCACTTCAGGGTTTTCACTTTACTCCGGCGGCAATCCGGGGACTCGATTATTCATCAGCACAAAGCGCGCCGTGCCATTCACATGAGACTCAGAAGAAGGCGAAAGCCTTCACGGCACCACCAGAGTTACGATCCGGTTGGCCCGAGGGGGTCGTCAGCCTGCTTGCATCGCAAGGGAATTACCAGACAAGGCTTGGAAATTGCGCCCATTGTCCATTGTCATGCCGGGTGGGCTTGCACAGTCCCATGGTAACGCTCTCCAATGGCGCCTCGTCAGTTACTCTCCTAAAAATGGGCATGTTTGAAGAGCAGCGTGGCTCCGTGATGTTTCACCAACACCCACCAGTACAGCTGTCTAAAAAATTGTATGAGGAGCTTTTCAGTGCTGCAGGCCCCGTGCAGGGTGCGTCTTTGTACTGTCCCTCGCTGGGCATGCTCTTGTGCTTCCTGATGACTGCGCACGAGAGTCTGGGATAGATCGAATCCGTCCAGCCCCCCCCCCCCCCCCGTCACAGCAAATACCAGCTGACGCAGACTAGCATTGGTCACGACACCCAAATTGGAAACATGCTCACTTTGACGTCCTTGGCCAAAAGGCCATGTTCAAAACTGTGCTTGTAAACCTCGGTGATGAACTGTATAGCTTATGGAACATGTTGCAATGGCATGACCTATTTTCATTCCAAAAAGTGTCCATTAAGACCTTGGTAAGTCGAGAGATTCACGATATTGTCAAGCGATTCGGGTTTGGAGAGGGTCAAGCCCACACATATGGCTAAGGAATAGCGAAATGTGAGCGAGAGAAAGCAAACGAGGCGATAAACATGCCTTTTTAAGTCAATCTTTGCATGCGTTACCATCGGATTTCTTAACAACCTTTGCAAACTTTATGAGAGTTATGGACACTCCCTCCAGGCTGCCACTCAGACCCGTGATATGTCTGATACATAGTGGTGCGAATGCTTTCTGCCATTTATAGGCATGAATGGCGTCCGTGCGAATGAGAGTTCATGACTGAAACAGCGGTCAGCGTAAGTCATTTACCAAGAAGAACGTAAGTGGAAGTTTCAACATGTGCTTCACCGGACCACGTGGTATATCGCTGGTACATGACTACATCGGCGTCGGCGTGAGTCAATTGCTAAGAGGTACATCGGTGAAAGTTTCAACATGTGCTCCACCGGACTGCGCGACACATAACTGCATGTAACTGCATGACTGCATAACATAACTACAACCAGTGGTACATGACTACTTAATGAACACAGCATTGGCTTCGGCGTAAGTCATCTGCTGTCAATCTCAGCCAAGCAGCCCCTCCCCGTTGATTAAGGTCCCTGACTTTGGATTTGGGGGCTTGTAGGCTTGGGATCTTATTTCGTACATTGGCGAAAGTCTTATGTCAATGGGAAATCAATATGTCAGTCTCATGCCACTGAGATGCCAGTTCGTAAAGCTCTGGACCCGGTTTCCGCTTGTTTTTTTTTTCAGCTTCTTGCAAGTTGAAGCTTTTGCTTTCCCCAATTGGACTGAAAGACGAAAGTAAAATCGTGGTAAAATTACAACGTTATAGGAAAACGAGTGTGGTCAGATGGCCGGCATGCCAGGGCCTGACAATTTCTATGGCACAACTTTTAAGGAGTTGTGTTCCCCGTTGCTGACAATACATGAGCTTGCGATCAGTAGCTGCAAAGACCGGTGGCGCAGAGTAGATATCGGCGAAGAGGGTGTCCAAAGTAGGTCACTGGTAACAATCTCAACCAAGCAGCCGCTCCCGTTGATTAAGGTCGCTGACCTTGGATTTAGGGGAGGCCTTGTAGGCTTGGGATCTTATTTCGATGCATCGAGCGCCCGTGCGTCTGTTTTAGAAGCTGTGCGGGCGTTTTAAACTGCTCCCAAGTACCCGCGTGGCACCGCTTCCAGGGGGATCACAGCCCCCAAAACGCCCTTACCTGCGCCACTGGCGAAGGTACTGGCAGATCGAACGCACGAGCGCCGTGGCGAGCAGGATCACTCAAGTTTTGAAGTTCCGTCATCAAGCAACATGCACGCGGCAACATGGACGTTCAAGCAGCATGCACGCTGCCTTTGGACTAATTTGTAATGCAACGCGCTTACAATGAAAGACATGCCTGCATGAGCAACATGCTATCAGTTTCTGAACTCGGTGTACCCTGTACTAAATTTACTTCAGTGGACCAGTTACCGCAGTATAAGTCTTAGGAATGCATATGCACTTATTGACATGCGTATATAGCAACTCCACAACTTTCAGAGTATAACATACTTGCGTCATTAGGTGTCATGTTCTTCTGTCGGTTTGGCATTTGGGTCGGTACATTTTTAAGCGGATGGTGGGAAATGGGGACTGCACGTGAACACCCGGCGTGCGTACACTCTTCAACAGTTCTAATATAGCACGCTCACACACTAGTACATTCTAAAACAAGAGAACACAACGACGAGAGGCGAGACGAATGGTTATCTTATTTTTGCGTATTTTCACGCATTAGCTATACACATCCTCAAACTTTCAGTTTTGAGTTAATTTGAGAAGTTAAGTGAACCTTCTTTGCTGTATACTTCCCAACGTACAAATCCGTAGATCTCCGGGAGACAGACAGTCACGTAGGTCAAACAACCAGAGACAGAAAGAGTGACAAACAGACAAACAGACAGACATGCAGACCGACCGACCGACTGGCAGACAGACAGACAGACAGACAGACAGACAGACAGACAGACAGACAGACAGACAGACAGACAGACAGACAGACAGACAGACAGGCAGGCAGGCAGGCAGGCAGGCGGGCAGGCAGACAGACAGACAGACAGACAGACAGACAGACAGACAGACAGACAGACAGACGCACACACACACACATACACACATAGAGCTGGGTTGCTTTGCTCGCGCCTTGCCTTAAGTCGTCACGAGCGCGCTACTTGAGCCCGTCACTACAATGGTGGTTAATGAGCTGTTTAGCCCGACAATTAGTTCAATCTTATTTGCGCATTTGTCAGCAAAGGCGTGCTCGAATATTTTGCATTCATCCCGGTACTCATGTGCGTGTAGTTACTAAGCACGGGCTATCACAACGGCCCATGAAGGTCGGCACGTTGCCGTGAGTGCCGGGCGCTGTTTTCCGGATTTCCCTACTTCACGCGGAATCTCACGTGAATAGTCGAAGAATGCCGCCTGACAGCGTTTTTCGCGGATTTCTGAGCGAAAATCGCTCAAAGGCCTCCTAGAATGTTTGGTCTGTAGCTAAAATGCATTAGACAGCGCACAATGATCTAGTTCTCGTTATTTTCGACTGATAGCACCTTTTGTGATCGCCAGAATATCACAAGATCAGCAAATGCATGTGAAATGAACTTGAGAAAACACCCGGGAATAGTTTTTTCAATGATCGTATAAATTACCGCCCTCCAGCATGCACGCCCAACCCCAAAGCCGTTCCAGCCGCTCCTCGGGGCACCACTCCGCGGCATCCGACCGACGGGGCGCGGCCGGCGCCGCTCGCCGCCACCAGGGGGCGGAGCGTCGGTAACGACGAGGGTTGTCCGTCGGAACCGACGCGGCGGCCGGCAGTGCGCGGCGCGGGCGCAGGTGCGGGTTGGGCAGTGCCGACGGATCGCGGTAGGTCCGACCATGAACTACAACGCCATGGGCGCGCTGAACCTGTCGGCCGGTTGCGGCTTGCAGTTCGACCCGGGCTCGTACCTGGAGCGGCTGCAGGCGCTGCCCGTCAGCTCGTCAGAGAACACCAAGCGCTTCTCAGTCAGCCATCTGCTGGAGCTGGACAACATGGAGCAGGGACACGCCGCCGACGAGAAGGCTGCCGACAGCGAAGGTAGGCGGCACCACGCGGCTGGGTGCGGCCGACGACGGCGGATGGTCCCGGTCCGGAATGAGGCGGGTCGCTGGCGAGTTGGTAGGACCGCGGTCCGTGTCGTGCTGTAGAACGCTTGCTGGATGTGCTTGAAGCGGAGGTGAAGGCGCAAAGCTTGGGAAGTGCACGTTAGCGCAGGTCAGGACCAGTGGAATGATCATGAAATCGATTCGAAGGGCTGGATTTGCGAGGGTCTCTTCTCTTCTCGCAACTTAATCAAGTTGCGCTACGATCTGCAACGCCGTTGGCGGCCGACTCAAAATCCGCTGCACGGCAGGGCCGGCTCGACCCAGTTGCGGGGCACTCTGGGCCGCGGCATAACGGCGGACTAAGACACGCTATGCGCGGGTGAAACACGACTTGCAGAGAGTGCCATTGGCGTCGGATTGGTAACTGGTGACCATTGGGGCCGGAGGTTGATTTAAGTATTTTTCCACATAAGACAGGGACGAAATGTTTGTAAGATAAGTAGAGGACACGTTTCCTCACCACTTTGGTGACACTGCTTTGTTACTACTTAGGTGCCAAAGATCTTACATCTGTTTGGATTATCAAACGCAGTACTGTATAGCGGAACTTTAAACTTACGTGCAAGTCGGCCTGTTTCATGTGTAAATCATGGTATATGCGTTGCTACGAGAATACTTACGTCGGGAGTTACGTTGCTGTGACGCGAAACCGTAATTTTCATTCATACGTTTGTGTACAAAAATATGCGCCAAATGACTTGAATTCCCAGGATGTTCCAAGCCCACTAACGTGCTTACCCCACTGGCAAGTCATCACAAGAAATCACGCGTTTTGTTCCATGTCGGCACACTTGCAGGGCAATTCACACTTCCTCAGCCTATTCGAAGTGCCACTTCACCTTTGCGAAATTCCGAAGCACCAGTCTAGACGGTTTACCCGGCCGCGTTTCAGCTGCACAAACTCTGGAATCAGCAGCCTGTCCGCCTGCATTGGATCGGGGCTTGATCAGCGCCCCGGGCGCGTCTCGCTCGGTCATCGGTCGAGGGCTTGATGGAGCATGGGGCTGGATCGCCCACTTGGCACCGGCCGGAGCTGCGGGGTGGCACTGCCGCCTGTCATGCTAATGGGTCATGACACCCGGCCGCCCACTGCTGAATCAACTCGATCGCCAGATGGAAATACACTCGCCATTTTGCGCCGGAACTAGTCACGTAAGCGAGCTAAACAACTGATCGAACTTTTGGTACAGATCACGGTAGCTTTTTGGGCTGGCTTTTGTATAACACGTGGGGAACAGCTTGTGATGATATCTTCACCACATTTGTAATGAAGATGGTGGAATTTGCGACAGTGGGGGAAACCCAATCCGTACGCTGATATTCTGCGCTTTCAAATGTCACTTTAGCTAAGAAGCGAACTCCGCGTGCACGTCTCCCCAGTAGCAGTGACATCCACAGCTCGGAACGTTAGTCTATGGGATGCTTCACTTTGGTGGGCTATTTCATCTCTTGGTTCCACTTGTTCCTTCCTCTTGTATTGGGAATGCCATAACACGGGAAAAGTGCTGGATACGTGGCCGAGTGGTTGTGGATTACAGGCGCAAAACCAACAGTCCTCCAGCAACACAATGTTCCGCTAGAACCAGTATGATGCAGTGCGACGCCAACGAGATGAGCAATCCAGCCATCGTAAAGTGGTGGAAGCATCGCTTTTGTAGGCCATTCGTGACATAAACCTGATCCAATAACCCAACTGCTGGCCTTATCGCATATTGACACCAATGTTAAACACATCACGTCATTGGTCACTTTGGCTGGAGCAATGAAGGAAGGGTGACTGAATAAGAACAGCAGGACACCTTAGCGCGGAAAACATGATAAACTTGCCGATGCATATTTCATCTCACAGCCGAAAGCGTTTCACCAGGAGCGACACATCCAGGCCCAGTCGCTGGAACTGGCCCGCAATCCTGACCAGTCTCTCCTGATCACGCTTATCCAGCATCACCTTCACCACGTGAAACCTTTCCGCCCCAGAGAGGTGTTCCAGCAGCCGTTGGCAGCACTCCGCCCCGTCTTCCTTCAGCATCACCTCCAGCACGCACCTGATGATGATGGACAAAGTGCCGGCGTCGAGCTCGGAGCCGAACACGTCCTTCAGCTGGTGAGGCGCTACCGTGCGCAGCAGGTCTGCGTAGGGCGCCAGGGAGCTGCAGGACCGCAGAGCCCGCCAGCGACGCATGAACTCGTACGGCCTCCAGCAGCGCGGCTGGGGACGCGATGGCTCCGGCGCGGCTTCACAGGCAGCAGTGTGGGGCTGATGCCCGACAGGTTCCACGGTCGCCGTGCAGCTGGGAGGGGAACGTGCTGTCGCTCGAGTCGACAGAAGGTCTGGTTCCGTCGCTGGCCCTGGCGGCGGTTGCTGAGGAACCGACTGAGCATGCTGCCTCGGCTCTGACAACGGTTCGCCACTGTGCGATCCGGTATTGAGCTGCGCGGCTCTGGTCACAGGTTTAGCTGTCGAGGCCTTCGGAACCTCCATTGCCGATGAATATTGGTGGGACGAGCGTGACTCACAGACGCCTTGATCGCTCCCGTCCACAGCTAAAGGCGGTTGATTTGTCGGCATTTGCGATCGCTCCCCATGCACCGGGCGAAGGTTGGATTTGTTGTCCTCCGTTCTTATATTACATTGGTTATCGCCCGCATTTATCTCATGGATGAACATTTTATTGCCATCGTTGGTATTGCTGTTAGCCTGGGTTACCACTTCGTCTCCCTCGGTACCCTTCGCCTTCTTCGTCTTTTGGTGTTTGTCGTAGATATTTGGATTGCAAACATGAGCTTCAGCGGCATCACCTACACCACGTGATAGTCTTGAGGCGTGCCTGTCATTAGGTCCAACATCACTTAAGTCAGCACAATTTCCAGATTGCTCTACAATCGAGTCGACTTCTTGTATCAACATTTTCTTCCTGGATTTCTCACTTCCAATGATACGCTTCTCCACCTCGCCAATGTACTTTTTAGCCTGCACATTATTCGGCTCAAGCTGCAGCACCTGCTGGAAGTCCAGCCTGGCTTTGATCCAGTCCTTCGCCATCTGCCTGGCAATGCCTCTGCGCAGGAGTGCCTTGACGTTGTTGGGCTCTCTGCGCAGGACAGAGCCGCAGTCCATCAGCGCCGAGCCGTGCTTCTTCAGCTTCAGATTGGCCTGGGCGCGGTTGTTGTACGCCGCCACGGTCGGGCTGGCGTGAATGCTCCTCGTGTAGTAGACAGCTGCTCTGGCGAAGTCACCACTGCGGAAGTACTCGTTGCCCTTCTCTCTCTCCCTCAGCGCAAGGGCTGCTCTCTCCGGCTCGCTGAGCCCCTTCACGTCCGGCTGATCGTCGATGGCATGGTCGTTCCGTTCCGGAAGCGTCGCAGGTTGCTGAGGTGTATCCGAGTCCTCCAACAGCTTCAGCTGCGCCTCCACATCGTACCGATCCCAGGCGGCATAGTCGTACGAAGAAATTCGGGCCGCTTTCGGGTCGGCCGGCTTCTGCTCTTCCCTCGCCGTGGTCAGCTGCACTGTGCCACGCACTGGAGGGAGCTGGCCATCGTTGCTGTCGATCTTCTCCGCATGGGCGGATTTGAGATCTGCGTCGACGATGGACACCTCACTCTTCCACTGTTCCAAGTCGGAGAGAAGCTCCTTCCTTGCCTGCGAATCCAGCGTTCGAATGGCGGTCGCGGGGTGCTCGGATCGCAGGAGTGGGCTGTTCGGCTTCAGACTTCTGAGCCTGTCTTCAGTGAAACGGCTGAGATCGGGGTACACTCCCTCCTGTCCCGACCGCAGTACGAGCAGGATCTTCTCTACGACTTTTGCGTCTTTGCAGTTCCCAACATATTTATAATCAAGTTGTTCTATATCTAAGCCGTGCTTCGCGCGCAATGACTCGGCTTTGGGGTCGTTTACCACCATCGCCAGGAACGTGGAGCACTCGAGAACAAGTGCCTGTGAGATCACACAGGTACACGAGATAGGCACCGTGCCGTCGCGGTCCTTTTCTACCTAACCAACCAAATCACCGGCTTGGCAAAAACATGGGACTTCTTGGCATGCCGAAAGGGCCACACAGCGGTGATCTGTTTTATGCGCCCCCACTTCCGGCAGCAGGCTGATTGCGGTAACGGGATGACCACATAACGTCGATCACTTCTCACCACACAGCACTGAAGGTTCTCTACAGCTCGCCAGCGAACCAACGAACGCCAGCATCAAACCCACGTTCACGCGAACTGCCCGCAATCGATCAAACACCGGTGGTAACGCCGAAACAGCTGCGCGCAATGCACAAAGGCGGATATTGGTAAGATCCAATCTTAATGTGGACGAATGGCTGAAACTACCACACCTTTCAAGAAGAGACTGGCACGAATAGAAGCCTATAACTGTCTTGAATAAACGGATCACAAAACCCAACGGTGTCCAAAACGGACGTTTTGTTTACGTCAAGTTCCATGCACAAGCCGCTGTGGTTGCTATGACAACTATAAGCGCTGCCATATTTTCATGACGTGGAAAGTATTCCCTTTGAATGGATTAGCATGACAGTACGGACCACAGTGCGATTGAGACACTTTTTGCCTATTTGGAGCAGCTTGGCCACTACTTTTCCTGACCTGAAGCCTGCTTTAACGACTTGAATGTAAATAAGAGACAAATGCGTACAATTTTGACATGGGAAGTAACTTCCCGCGCTTTTACTTCAAATCCGGTTGCACAGACTAAGAAGTAACTAGGTAACATTTCGCCCGCAAACGTCTACTAGTTACGGGAAAATTTGAGATAAGGAGTGTTTCCATGTTCTACCAGGCACCCATCGGGATCCATCAGCGCAGCTGCCTTTGCCATGGAAAAGACATTCACATCGAGCTGAAATGAATTTAAAAGATGCTCTGTCTCGTGGTAAAAAAATCGCGATGATCACAGAGGGACCGGCGCATGGC